AANNAACAGCAAGCCAGTTCTTATACAGTTAGGGCCGCAGTTTAAAAGAACTAGTTAGCAGAGAATAATAACAGTAGTCTACGGCCGGCTTGAGAGCAGTGGTGATAAAAGAGAGTCCCCAGACCCCGTCAATGCCGAGCCACCTGCAAAACTGGTCCCGTAAGGGCTGCGGCAGAGCTATTGTTGAATTCGCCTGTTGGCGGCTTATTTTGGACACGGCGCTAGTTAGTTGGATGTTGTTTTGCGCTATGTACATCTTACCGACAGAGTTACGGTTACTGTGATATCCGAACTTGACCCAAAGCTTGCTTTGAGTAACACACACTATCACTCTGACGACGGTTAAACTGAAGGCTGCTACATCACATACAGCCGATATAACAGGTTCAGATACGAACGTGGTCTAGAATGGCCTCCAAAGTAGGTCACGCCTGCAGCTATATCAGTTAAATGCGTTCAGATTGCGCATAAAAAACAACGCCTGTGATATAGATGGTTAATAAATGATATTAATTGGAGACTTTTTCATAAGCATAACATCAAAGTCAAAAACATAACCAACCCTTCGTTCCTGCGTAAGGTGCACTCATGGGGCGGGAAGACACAAATCGCTTTTTAATATAACCGGGGAAATATAACAAACTATTATGATCAATATTATAGATGTGCATGAACTCTTGGCTTTGATGCAGTGTCTTCGCCATTCATGTACCTGTCCCAGGCCTTGGATGCTTCGGCAAAGGCATCGTAACTGAAGAGGTAAGCCTGGAACTTGGGATCAATCCAAGGAATAGGGTATGACTCAAAGGGGCTTCGTTGGTAAAGCTTGGTGTCCCTATTGCGCTGGCCGGGCCCATCTCGCATGTGCAGTATGTGTCTCAGTGCGGAACTGCTCTGTACAATTATAGAGGTGCGTTCTTTGCGCGTGGCCTCATATATAGAGAGAAGATCACGCAGCTGAGAGCTGTCTTTGATGCGTTCGAAGAGGGTACCGAGTGCAGCACCATCTTCTATAGCCTGAGCGGCTCCTTGGGCACTGGTCAAAAGAAAAAAATGTCAAAAAACTAGTCTAGGCCGGAGGAAAGGGGAAAAAATAGTGAGGATGCTCAAGTAGGTAAAAGGGTACGTACAGGTACGGTAGAGTGGCGTGGCAGGCATCACCAAGCAAGACAAATTTCCCACTTGGATGGGACCAGGAGTCCATCTCTCCGCTATTCCGTAGCCGCCACTTTTGCGTCGTCCTGACCAGGCCGAGCAGAGACTTTAGCCGCGGGTCCCAGTTCTGGAAAAAAGTTCTCATCTCGTCCGGGTCAGCGTCGGCAAGATTCACGGTATCCGGTAGATCATCCGGACAGACGAGGACGAGGTTCAGCATCTCCCCGCTCTTGAGGGAATAGCATACGGCATGTCCATTCGGGCCAATCCAGTGGGTCATACCGGGTCTCTCAGCCAGGTCAGCTAGTTCCGAATGGCGCTTGACATCCTCTCCTCGCATAATGATGCGATAGGCCATGTCTCCGGTGATTTGGGGATGATCAGCATGGCCGAGCAGGGCCTGGCGGCAAACGGACCGAAGACCATCGGCACCAATGATCAGGTCGGTGTGGAAATCTGGCTTACCCAGCAGGTGGACGGCGGGGGAGTCGAAGTCGATGCCGATGACGGTGTTGTCTAGGCGTACGTCAACTCCGAGTCTGCCTGCCTCATTAAGGAGGATGCGGTGGTAGTCTGCCCTGTGGATATGTAGGTATGGCACGCCATATCGTTCAAAGGTATAGGGGAAAGCGTTCTGGACGCAGAGCACTTTGCCAGTTCGGTACGATCTAACAATGAAGTCCCTCGGTCGAACGGCCACTTGTTCTACCTCAGGGAGGAGCCCCCATTCCTGGAGAATATACGAAGCATTGGGGGGGATCTGTATGCCCGCACCAACCTATATCTACCAGTTTAGAAATATTTGCTTTGAAGGAAAAAGACGAAAACGAACAGAATCAACAAAAGGAGAAAGCAAGAGGAGATGAAGGGAAGAAAGCTACCTCTTGAACGTCTGCCTGCTGCTCCAAGACAGTGACTCTATGGCCGGCCCGAGCGATACCAATGGCGGCAGCCAGCCCTCCCAGGCCAGCTCCAACTATAGCTACGTGGAAACAAGGAGAACTCATGATGACTTTTCGGCCCCGTCCAAGTATGACAGACCAAAAAAAAAAAAGATAAAAGAGGGGATATACCCAGGCGAGGAAAAATAAAAACAATAATAATAATAAAAATGCAATACAATAAAGGGGATATATAGGATAGAGTATATGTTGATGAATGGGGGGCAAGGGACCCAGGCAGGAGAAGTAGAAAGATGATGAGCCCACTCAAGCGTCACCACCGGGAAAGGGAAAGGAAAGAGAAAGGGAATAAGGTATGTTTGAGTGTATGTAAGTATGAGAGATAAAGACAAAGTCCAAAGAAAGAAGAAAGAAGAAGAAAGAGAATTCACGGCAGCTTAAAGGCGCACCCCGGGACGCACCGGCTGCATGAAGATATAGTGTGTGTGCGTGTAAGCAGATATTATATATAGATTAGCACCCAGGGCCCTTCTGTAGTATGGTTAAGCTAAGAATCCAAAGGGGAGCAACGGCAAGTGAAAGGCGGCAAAGGAGAGAGAATTGTTGTTGGGATTGATAGTAAGCTGGACTATCCAGGAGGTAAAAATGAGAAACTAGCAGACTGGGCACCTACAAACGGGCTGTACAATAGTCGCTCATCCTCGCTAAACCCATACGCCCGAGTAGGCAAACTATTGGGTCAGAGGTGGGAAGAGGGCCAAAATGGGGAGGGGGGCGGATTAAAGAAAATCATTATTCAAGGGTATATACTCCGTACACTCCGTAGAGAGGAGCAATGGCAGTCCGTATGTAAGGCCTGGACAGAGGGGTCAAGTGGGAGCCCGGAGGAGATACCCGTTAGAAGAGGGTTGGTTGCGGTGCAGAGCCAGGACAGATTTGAATGCCATGCATTGTCAAGACCACGACCATCCAGGGGTGTGAGCGGAGGCAACATGCTTGGGCCATGTTGGTCAAGTAGTAGCGTAGTCGTAAGTAGCCCTACTAGTAGCAGTAGTAGTACTCCGTAGTAGTAGTAGCAGCAGTAGCTTAACGTGGAGCCTGTGCAGAAGATAACAGAGACCCGACGACGAGTTTAGCTCAGGCTAGCATCGTGAGATCGCCTTTTTCTCTCTCTCACTCCGACTTTCTTGGCTTTGTTGAGCAAACGCAAGCCTTAAAATTTTTGCGGTGAGCATGGAACCGCTTATGTAAGTGTATCTACTTAATAAGCTGTTATATAAGCAAGGAGTTATGTTATTCCTTTATATTACGTAATGCGTGAAAGAGGAAGGCGATAAGGTGTCCACTGAGTAAGCAGGTCACATGCCCTGAAGACTAGCAGCAGCAGCAAGCAGGCAGATGCAGCACGACCTCACAAGCAGAGAGCAAGCAAGCAAGAGGAGGACAGGAAGAAGAAAAGGGACGAAGAACGAGGCAGAAGCGAGGGGGGAAGCCAACATGAAACCCGTCGTGAGCCAGGGCGAGGGAGGGACCAGCCGTCGGGAGAAGGGCCTTGCGAGCCCGCCTGTGAGAGGGTCGGCTGTCACCAGGGGAGAGGGAGGAGGGTTTTAGGGTAGATTTAGGGTAAGGAGGGAGATCACCTCTCGGTGGTGACCCCTTCGCTCCCCTTGTGGCCCTTTCTGCTGCCTCCATAGACGCCACTAAAACAAGTGCCCAGCGGCTGACTGGCGGGCTATTTATAGGGACGAGAGTTAATATCCGACAGCCTATCCAACTACCATCATCGCCCAGTATGTAGAGAGTAACTAGAAGTATTTTCATCTTACTGAGTATCACCACCTCGAGCACTTTCGCATTACTCTGGACTATCATATCGGTTAGCAGTGTGCTTTGTACTGTTAGGTAGAAAGCCTGCAGCCCGGCGTCTTTGCGCCGAGTTGTACTTGACTCCATCCAGAGTAGTAACAGCACCAACAGAGGAAACAAGACGACGACGACGACGACGACGACTACTACGACGACGCAGAAGAAAAGAAAAGAAAAGAAGAGGAAAGAAAAAAGAAAAAAAAGGAAAAAGAAAAAGGAAAGANNGAAAAGCGAGCGCAAGAGGAAGAGCGGCAGTTGGCGGGCGACTCCGCTAGTCGCGGCACCGCAGCAGGGTCCCAGGGCGGCCGCAGCCAGTCAGAGTCACGAACGAGGCACAGCGAGACAGGCAAGCCTGCGGTGGCCCACCCCCTGTCAGCCCCCAAAAGGGCCGGCCAAAGGGGGAGAAGGGGGGCCGCCGACGCCTGGCTTTTGCGGGCTCTGCTGGCTGGCAGTGCTACTCTGTAGTTACAGGGGCTGGCTCATACGGACAGAAAGCAGGAGAAGCAGAAGCAGAAGCAGGAAGAAGTCGAGGATTATCCTCAAGAGAGTCAACGAGAGCACCCACTGCCCCCGGTTAGCGTCTCAGCAGCACCAACCCAGCCCAGCCCAGTCCAGTGGGCAGGCCAACCCAGCAGGCGAGCGAAGGGGAGAGAGAGAGTGTGTGAGAGAGAGGGAGAGGGAGAGGGAGAGGGAGAGGGAGAGGGAGGGGGGAGACCCAGCGGGGGGCCCGCCGGGGATGCCCCGGGAGCGCCGGCCAGCCAACGAGCGGCGAGCAGCGCGCAGGCAGCCTGTCGAGCTAGCCGGCCTGGCAGCGCCCAAAGTTGCCCCCCCCATGCGCGATCCGCCCAGCCGCCCACCCAGCCAGCAGGCGGTAAAAGCTCGTTTCCCCTTCGGCTGCTGGAGAGTTGCGAGGGTGCGCTGCCTCCCTGCCTTTGTCTCGCGCGCTGCTAGCTCCTGGGCTCCCTGGGCTCGCTGGGCTCCCAGGGCTGCTGGGCTGCTGGCTGCTGCAGCCGGCCCAGCGAAACGCTGCGATGCTACTGGTGCTGATGCTGGTGCTGACGCTGGCTTGCATGCCCCTCCCCTGGCCACCCACCAACCAACTCGCACCCGCACGGGACGAGGACGACGAGGGTTCGCTAACTTAAGCAAGCTGCTCGTCTCGCTGCCGCCAGCCCGTTGCCCCCAGCGCCGGCGGTTGCAGGCCCTCTCACTAGCGCCGTCTCTTCCCCCCTTCGCCTTTCGCTCTCTTCCCTTCTCGCTCTTCTTCCCTTTCTTCCCTCCCTTTCCCTCCTCGCCGCCCTCTTCTCTTCTCCCTCGCGTCTAAACCCTCGCCTCGCTCGCCTACTTCTCGCCGCTCCAGCTCCCGCCCTCCCGTCGCTGCCAGCTCTCCCTCCCGTCGCTGCCAGCTCTCCCTCCCGCCTCACCTATCCTTTATCTTCTCTATTTACACAGAGTACTCTCGCATCTACATGGAGTAAAGCCTTCGCGGCCTGCTTCTACTTTTTGCCTTGTGTGTTTCGACTGCCGCCTGGCCTTTTTTTTTTTTTTTTTTTTTTTTTTTTTTTTCCCTCCTTCTCTCCTTTGGTTCTCTGCTGTCGCATTGTTCGCCCACACCCACCCAAACGAGTCGCATCAACCAGCAGAGGGAACCACCAAGCAGACCATCGTATTGTCCTCTTTCTTTCATCGCCAGGACTGCTCGACTCCCTCTGCGTCGTCGACTTCATGTCCGTCGTCGCACCTGCGCCGCTGCCCAGCGGCAGCCGGGACATCGCGGCTGAGGCCAGCCCGGAACAGAGTCCCTCCAGCTTCACCGCGGTTAACGGCAGAGATCGCTCGGCCTCGCTCATGAACGGACAGCAGGCCGACATGCGTCCGTCGCCCTCTCGCGACGACAGCAGCAGCAGCAGCAACAGTGCCGGCGCAGCCAACAGCAACGGCACCGTCGGTGGGCACAGCAGCGGGAACAACGGCGGCACTGCCAGCGCTGCCGCCAGCAACGGCGCCAACTTGCCTCTCTCGGATAAGCCAGCAAGCGCGGACGGGTCTCGTGACTCGCCCGTCGACCACGAAGACGCTGCTTCCGCCCAGGACAACGGCAGCACCACCACTCCCACCACCACCACTGCCGCCGCCGCCGCCGCCGCCAGCAATACAAACAGTTCTTCTGCTTCTTCTGCTGCTTCCGCTGCTGCTGCTGCCAATAACAACAGTACTGGCACTGCCGCTTCGTCGAACAAGCGCAAGCGATCCAGCATAGACAGTCACAACGCCGACCTCGTGCGGAGCCCCGGTCCGTTGCCTGCTGACCATCCTCACTCACAACCACCGCCCGCTGCAAATGGCAATTCAGAACACCCTCACCATCACCACCATCAGCAGCAACAACAGCAGCAGCAGCAGCAACAGCAGCAACAGCAACCATATACCAGCGTTGAACGCCCAGACGAGGCCCGGCCAGGCACCGGCAATGTCGCCTGGGACTACGAGATGAGTAGCTCGCAACGACACCCCAAGCCGCAGCAGCATATGGACGCTTCCGATGCTCAGCTGGCCGAGGCTCTGCAGCGCGAGGTCCAGAGCGAGACTCCTTCTGAAAATGCCTCCACCATGGAGATGCAGAGTGGCGGCGGTTCGTCGGCTCACAACATGCAGAGCCAGTCTCCCAGTGCCTCTCAAGTTGCGCCGAAGCGGAAGAGAGTCTTCAGTAACCGCACCAAGACCGGCTGCATGACTTGCCGGCGAAGAAAGAAAAAGTGCGACGAGCAGCATCCCTCTTGTAAGTTTTACCCTACTTTTAGGGCCCCTTCATTTTTTTTTTTTTTACATTCCTCGCAGTTATCCTTTTTTGGTCGTTGCCCTTGTTCTTAATTAAATTATGGCCTATATAACTCAAAACTCGTATTCTGACACTTCTTTTCTGCAGGCAACAATTGTATTCGCGGTGGGTTCCCCTGTGAAGGGTACTCGGTCCGCAGCACCTGGCAGAAGCCATCCCAGACCAAAGGCCCCATCCCGCTTCAGTCCAAGGACCGCTATCCTGAACCGCCCAACATGTACATGCAGGATATGAGCCCTCAGCGTCATGATTCCAGAATGGGCGGTCCCATGCTCCCCGACGGAAGCAAGGCCAGACCGGTCTCGGTTGAAGAGAGCGAGCGAGCCCAGGCTTACATGACCAGCCCCAACAGTTCTGTCGCTCGCGTGGCATGGCAAAAGGGCTCGTGGCAGGCCGCCAACCACCATATGATGCAGGATTCCGCCCCGAAGATGGAATACAGAGATGGGCCCGTCATGCCCGACATGTCGCGTCCGGAACCTCCAAAGGCGGACTACCACCACTCACACGCCAACGCCGCCGGTGGCAGCAACAACAACAATAATAACAACAGCCCCGCCAACAACGGCTCCGGCAACAACGCGCACCAAAAACCCGGTCTTCCAGTCTTCCAATCCAACATGGAGCCGCGTCCAAACCACGCTCCTCCAAGAGTCGACCCGGGTAATTACCCCACCCAGGCCCGTCTTGCGCTCAGCAGCATGGAAACCCATGTACCCTTTGAGGGTCCTACTGAGAAATCAGAAAAGGAAAAGATGCTCAGCGGTGAACAGTACCGGCCATTCGACCCTGAACTCGTCCGCGATCGTGAACAGTGCAAGTCCGCGCTCTGGCGGTTCACCAATGCGGGTAACCCGCTCTACGGCATCAGCTCCGCAGAAAAGACACGTCTGCTCACTCAGATCCTCCAGCCGCCTCCCATTGAACCATCTCCAGACGCCCCCCCACCGTCAACCAGTACTCCAACCGGCTCTCTCGGCCCTGGCGCCGTGCTCGAATCCCCCTTTAACTGCCACTACGGTTACAACATCAACATTGGCGAGGACGTGCTCATCTCCGAAAACTGTTTCTTCGCCGACGACTGCTCTATCAACATCGGCGCCCACACCTGGATCGGCCCCAACGTCACCATCCTCAGCTCAATGGCTATTGGCAGCATGCAGGAACGCAAGGGCTCCCAGTCAAGGTACCAGGGGCGTCCCGTCGTCATTGCTGAAGACTGCTGGATTGGTGCCGGATGCACTATCCTTCCTGGCGTCACGCTCGGACGTGGCGCGTACATTGCCCCTGGCGAGGTGGTCCGTTCGCAGATTCTGCCCTACGGCTTCCAGGGGTTGAAGCCAAACTACCCTTAAAGGCTCCAGGCCTCATCGTGATCCTCCATAATAGTCACCTTTTTATTTTTATTTTATTTTTCTCCCCCCTCTTTACTTCTTCAGCAGTTAATTCTTGACTGCCGCAGGGGCGACCTTGAATGCTACAGCCCCTGACACCCCGTCACGCAGCCCCGTTTTGGCGTATATATTTTACTACCTCTGATGCTCAACTTTTTATTCCCTGCCCCCAATATTTTATGCTAGCCACGACTGCTTACAAAAAGCGCAAGGGGTGAAAGGAGAAAAAACTATCAAATTCAAAATCAGGCCAATGGCATTTGCATTCTCTGGGCCGTTATCGTCTTCCTTTTCCACCAACGTCAATCTATCTCTGTTATCCGTTCTCCGTTGTTGCGCTGTTCGATACACTCTCAGTTCAGATTTTACTATCCTGTCTTTTCGTTTCTTACTTGTCTTGATCTGGATCCTTTTTTTCCTCGTCTTTTTTTTTTTTCATCCTATGCTTCCGTCTCTAGTGAGCATACATTTTTCTTCTGTTTACGCCCTTTACTGCCAATTTAACTCCCTGGTTTAATGGCGTTGACGAAAATGGCGTTCCTGTCTTGTCCCTCCGTCTGTCTGTCTCTTCTTTTAACGTGTTTATGTATCGTAGTCGGTTCATTCCTCTCGAGAAGAATCTATATTTCCCGATAATGCCCTGCTATCCATATTCATATCAAAGCTATTAATCCTGTATTTTTAACCATTATACGCTGTATCCTCGAAGCTGAACTTGACTATATACCCCGAAATCAGTCAGGTTTAAGACTCTAACCAGTCCAGCAGCTCTGGAACAAAGTACGTCGTCACAATACTCCCACCAGCCCTGAGTATTCCTTGCATACTCTCCATTACCATCGCCTTAAGCTCAAATACACCGGCCTTCGCACCAGCATGAATCATTGCATATTCCCCGCTAACTTGGTACGCGGCAACAGGAAGATCCCTCCCCAGCTCCTTCGCGTCACTAATGATATCCAAATAGGCTCCTGCAGGCTTTACCATGATAATATCAGCCCCTTCGTTAATATCTCTCTGAATAGCTCTCCTCGCCAGCCCCCGCCCACTGGGCGGGAGCTGATAGCACTTTCTATCACCGAACGAAGGCGATGATCCTGCAGCATCCCTGAAGGGCCCGTAGAGACACCCGCTAAATTTCGCCGCATAGGACATGAGAACTACTTGATGCGAAATACCTGCTTCAATGAGCTTGAGCTTAATCGCCCTGACCCGTCCATCATTCATGTCAGAGGGAGCAACGCAGTGTGCTCCAGCTTGTGCATACGCCACAGCGATATCAGACAGCCTCTCAACGGAGAGTGTGTTGTTTAATGATCCGTCTTCGCGCAGGATGCCACAGTGGCCGTGGGAGGTGTACTCGCACATACACACGTCTGCAGTAATATACAACGATGGGAAAGTGCTGCGTAGCAGGCGAATGGCTTGTATCACGGGCCCGGAAGGGTCATCTGCCATGGTCCCCAGTGCATCTTTGGCTCCTGGGGCCAATGGTACGCCGAAGAGGATGACGGACCTTAGGCCCTTTTTAATCAATGGTTTAAGGAATGGGATCAGCTTGTTCAGGCCAATCTGGTACTGGTTTGGTAGCGAAGGCACAGGAATTTGCTCGTCGGGTCTGTCCGTGATGAAGAGGGGGTACATGAGCATGGCCTAGATGCACTCATACTTAGCGAGGACCGTGCACAGTAGGGGAAGGCTTGTGAGGCTCACCTTGGTTAATTGTCTTTCTGCCTGCCATTCTCTAGTTAACGGATGGTTGTATCCTGCATGAAGCTGGCTGGAAATGCTCCCTGAAATGCTGACACTTGTGGTTGTGCTCTGGTATGAAGACGGGGCAGCAGCATGGGAGCGAGGGCCTTTGGGTATACGCTCATCGCCCTGGGAGTCTCTGAACGCAATGTCCGACACGAGGTTAGAGAACGACATCTTCAAGATAGGGTATGACCTTCCTCTTCTTCCTGTTTCTGTTGTCGTTCTTCCTCGTCAATTGGAGACTCTTCATCCTCATCTTCATCCTACCCCGGCCAATTTCAGATTCAGCTGGCGGGACAATTTTTTAGACTTCCTATATTAGTCAGCAGAGCGATAAGAAGCCAAGCTCTCGTGACGTCTTTCTTTTTTGTTCCTTGTGCCAGTTGAAGTCGTTTTAAAGGTCAGCAAGCACTTCAACAGTTTTCTCGTCTTTATAAGAGCAAGAGCGTTATATCTTTTGATTCTGTTCGCTGTTAAGGGGCCTACAAGCGTATTCCGGATATAGTAGCCATGATCGGGGCTTCGGCTCAAAACGCCTCGGGAACAACTACAAACACTCAAACCACTACTCCAGAGCTGGGTGGGCTACCGTTAACAGGTACTCTAAGACTAAGGGGAGAGGCAGATGAGCAAAGTAGTGAAGCGCCAGAACAAGAGAGGCACATAAAATGGGCAGAGGACGTTGTCGATAACGAAGGTCAGGGGAGGAAAAGCTCTAAAGGTAAGTTGTCCTTCCAAAGTCCTACAAGGTCAGCCGGCTTACCCTCACCATAGTCTGTTGTATCTACCATAAGCCACGACCTGCAGGCCAGAGTAGTTCTGAATCAGAGTCGTCAGACTCGGACTTCGACGATGACTCTGATGATGATAGTGGTAGTGGCCGATCAGACAAGACACATTCTCACAAGGTAAGCCCTTCTCGATGCCAAAAACCAACACTCCATTATTGAGCCAGACATGAGCTAACGTGCATATCGTAACCAGGGATCCGGATGCTCAGACCACCAGAAACGAAAACCAAGACCAAACGCTTATGAACGGATTCCAAAAAATAAGAAATAGATGCCAAGCAACATATTAAACCGCTTCGAACTCCGGATCCAAAAGGAAAATTATGCATGCGGTGCGCAGCTCTCTCAGTCACATTGGATCCAACATATCAAAGAGATTGGCATCTGGTAAATAAGGTTCACCCGGATCCCATGAATCACTGCTTCCGTGGCAGGCATCATATATTTCCAGCCGACGCCTTTCAAGGGGCATGGGTGTTCATGCAGGACAGGGAAGACCGGCAACAGATTGACATGAAATGATTGTGCGAATGGTGGCGCGAAATCTGGGATATACGAAGGCCACCACCTTCAAGCCCGAGAAAAGGAAACAAGCCCAGCTATGCACTTATGGATTATTTGTCCAGACATTGGATGATTCACTACTCAAGAATACAAAGGGTGGTAGGAAATAGTGCATGTTCTTGTGCTGGTCTCAAGTTCACATTTATAAAAACTCGCATGGCAGCGCTTTGTATATACATGTATTAGATTTAGACTGCAATACTCTGGCTTTGACCACACTGAAAAACCAACTTCTGACCCATGTGTAATGGCTTGATCACAGCCGGTTATACCGGTACATGTGCCATTGAATTCATTTCCAGTCTATAATTCGGATGTGACGAATTCCTGCGAGAATGTCTCACTGGTCTGATACTTAGGTCTGGAGTAGGTGCTCGCATAGATCTATGCCTTTGCTCCTGATTTGGCCATGTTCCATCTGTGTCTGTATCATCTTCGCTAGAGGAGTAGTTGCTCTTCTCAACCACTTCGAGATCCTTCTCCTCAAGACTATCTTGATCATATATTTTGGGCAAACTTTTCTTGACACCGGATTTAGTAGATAACCCAGCCTCAATTCCAGCGGGATGGTCGTTATTTGACATCGAAAGTCGCTTAATCGTATGGTCTGCCACTGCGTCCACTAGGTCTTCGGTGGGACGTCTCATTTTTCCTCTTAGACTAGGCTCAGCATAGTTTACTGGCCCACGCGAGCGTCTAGCCGGTCTTGATCGCAGAGGTTGCTGCCCGATGGCGCTTGTGGGTTTATATTCCGAGTGCAAATGCTTGTCCAGGCTGCTTGTGCTGTCAACAAGTATCTCTGAGGATACATTATCTTCGCTCGGGTCATCAAGGGCGATCTCGATGGGTTTATCCAAAGGAATCACACCCTCGTCAACAGTAACATTTAGTTTAGCATTCGTCGGCAGATCTGAAGCTTTACGGCGGGGATTGCGACCTCCTTCTGTTTTTCTCCGTCCAGATGACTTTCGTTTCTCAGAAGCAACATTATTATGTGCGACTTTTTTCACTGTTGACCTTGGGTTTAAATTCACGTTTTCTACCACTCCGCGTCAGATAAAATCGGAAAAACTAAGCAGACAAGCAATAGGGATATACTTACTAGGTTCAAGAGCCTTTCGAGTCTTTACAGGTTCCGTTGAATTCTTGATGCCTTCCTTACCCACGGACAAGAGGCCCGGCTCATTTTCAGTTCCAGTCCCAATGTCGCCTGGTAGTGTATTCGGGTTCTTCTTCATCAGAGTGTATTGATATTCATCTATCTGTTGCTTAGCCTGCGGAAGGTTTTCGGATTCGTGTGCGTCAAATTTCCGTTTAGAGCCAGCAATCGCAGGAATAGCCTCATCATTGCTGGTGTCAACGTCTTTCTTTGATATCAAAGTCTCGACCAAAGAGCTGTCTCGTCGTTTTGGCCGGGTATTTATTGGCCGAACTTTTCGTAGGACGTCTGCTACTGAGTTTTCATTTGTAGGGCATGGCATTGATGACTCCTCCAGCTCATTCAGGGGAGTATCAGCATCAGATCCCTTTACCGACACCCCAACATTATCCATAGATTGAACTTGTCCAATGGCATCATCCATCTGTGGCATTTCTTCCTCTTCTGGCTCTTCGTCGACTTCTGGGGCATACGCTTTATCTTCAGGAATTGCGGGCAGGCAGTTGCCATCGTCTAACAGGCCGTTATCCTCGGAAAGTCGTAGGAGATTTCTGGGGGTAATTCGTTTTGTTTCCGCTTCCTTCTGGGGTTGATTTTCTTTCAGGGTAGATGCATTGTTTTCACAACTCTGGGACGGTAACTTGTTGAGATCCTTAACGAGTGCCGTCAACTCCCCTAAGCCTGATTCGAATCTCTCTCGCAGAGAGTTGAGGCGCTTTTCGAAATGTGACCCCGTCCGATATTGCTCAAGCTCGTTATTTGCGGAGATAATTCCCTCTCGTAGTGTGATATTTTCGGCCAGGAGATGCGATACCTCTGCCTCGAGTGTTCTTATGCGGATGGACTGTACTGAATTGGCTCGGGCAATCTCGCGGTTTTGTCTGATGAAGCGCCGCTTTACTAATGCATATCCTGTTAGTAGCTAAACTCCTACAATACTGTGAACTCTCTAGGCAGCTAGGGGAAACATACAGGACTCGATGGAGTCCAACGTTGTGGGTAGGTCATTTAATCGAGCCATAACTGGTCGAGACCGTGGTCTTAGCTCAGCGATAAAGGTGATCCCTCTCGGGTCGAAGTCGTTAGCATATGAGATTAAGAGCCTCCAGGGGTCGATGTGTCGCGTTTCGTCTTCTTGCGATGTTCTCTTTCTGGTGACGGAAGTAAAATCAACAGTTGTGTTTGCGGTCGTAGGAGAAGGTCTTGGCTTGACACTGTTTATGTTTATCCGCTTACAGTTAGTTCCCGTTTCTCCCTCATTATATAATCAATGTATCGCTGATTACCGTATTGTTACACATTTGACACGTGATACTTCATTTTCAAAACAACCACAGCAGAGCGAGCGTCTTCATAGTAAGTGGTGATGTTTCAGGACTTCGCGATTCCAGAAAGCAACCATACATTACGTGGGCTTTGCAACAGATATGAGGGTGGTTGTTTATTTTTTGTATGAACTGTCGTCACCACCATAGCCCGATGTCTTACAATAAGCGTGCAACCGCAATATTCCCGTCTTCCGTTACAGGTACCTTATCATCCCGCCCTGGGAGTCAATCCTCAAGTTTAGCTGCCCTGGTAGCTGCAAAACGGGCGGAGTTAGAGGATATCCAACAGCTACGTGATACCAGCAATGCCCTTACAAAACAGTTAGAGGCGTTGGAAGCAAAACTTGCAACATTGCAAAATGGAGCCGAAGGTGAGAGCCATCATCATTCATAAAGTAGATATTATTTCGGAGCATTAACCGCGTCCCCTGCTTTTAGCTGTTTCTTGTATAATGGCGAACTTTGACAGTGTTCTGAAGGTCATTAATATGGCAGCGAGTAAGTCCACTTGTCTACCCTGCTCGTAAAGCGGTTATCTTCCATACTAAGCTGGACTGGTGGCCTTCCTCAAGCCAAAAACCAAGAGAGTTCACCAGATTTTAATCAAGAAGAGGGTGCCAAGAAAGATGATAACGTCACAGACTCCCTTCCAGTTCCCCTTGTACGGATATTACTGGAACAGCAGGCCCCAGGGACTAAGCGATAGATTATAGTAACGAGGCTGCTGTAATTTTTTCCTCCGAAGTGGTCCGCTCTTCAGTCTACTGAACATATCAGAATAGTATGAGCCCTAGGAGTTGGAACGGGCTCTATCTGGCGAAATGTGCTACTTTATGAGTTGTGTTGGATACGAAGCATCCTACAGGCCCTTCGGCAGGAAGGTAAGACTTGTTAGAGAACTATGGGTTATTGCTGAGGTCTTCAATAAATGGAGCATTAATAATAATGCTGATCATATTAATGTCCCGTTAGAGCTATCGGAGAGTACGAGGTGACTTAAGGTGGAGCTATAGACNANNNAAAAAAAAAAAAAAAAAAATTCTAGTTATAGACTTTGATATATATAACAAACGTTGTCAGGGCAGACTAAACACATATACAAAAATCCTTGTATCATATTATTTCGAAGAGAAGTTAGAAATGGCTGCATCGAGTGCAGTTTTGTTCTTCGGTATAAATTTCACCTTATATTTATTAGGGATGGCCACCAAGCTCGTTGGATCAGAATTTCCGTGGATTGGATGAGTGTTGATCTTTTCGACTGAAGTAATTCTGAAGCTGTTTAGCATACGCATTAGGATGAGATAAATCTCGCGGTTGGCCAGCAACGATCCAGCACACATGCGATAGCCGAGGCCATATGTAAACAGTGGTGCTTCTGGTTTTTCGATCCAGCGCTCGGGGCGAAACACTTCGGGGTCACTCCATACATAAGGGTCTTCAAAGATAAAAAGGTTAGCACGTATGGTCGAGGATACTGCACAGGTAGGACGGACGAGGGTAAAATAAATATACTGACCCATGTTACATGCCCACGCATTGAGGAAAAAGACGGTCCCTTTTGGGATGACTTTGTCCTCATACGTGATGTCCTTGATCGAAGTTCGGGGGAGTGCAAGGCGAAGGACCGTGAAATATCTATAGCATACAGTCAGCCCAGTTTCCTTTCCAGGACCGTGCCCTGCGCGTCCAACATAAATGTAACCCGGTGTGGAGTATTGTTTTATACCTAAGACACTCTTTGCCCAACGCGACGATATATTCACACTTTTGGTCATCCGTTGCATCACATGGCGGTTGGTCTTGAGAATAAAACTCTTTGATAGCGTCTGCAGCTTTATCCTGAATATCGGGTCTTTGGGAAAAGAGAGCAATACTCCAAGCTATTAATGTAGTCAGGGTATCCAATCCTCCAGAAAGCATAGTCAAGCTAATTGAAGTAAGCTCTTCTTTATTCAATTTAGCCTCCTCGTCAAGCATAATATTGGCTTGAATGCATGGCTGATGCTCATTCTTGGCCATCCTTTCCTCGAGGCCAGCATTCAAATGTTGCAAGTACTTGTCACGGCGATCCCGCATTTCTGCGGCTTTCTTGGACCCAAAATTGAAGGGGTTCAGGCGAAGAAGAGGGATATAATCCTGTAAGTTTCCAGTGGTGCTCCTGAATCGACTAATCTCATCTTCGACATGTGTGATTTTTTTGAAAAGCTCCTCCTCTTGCGATGCCATCCGTACTCCCCAATTTAGGGTAAGAGCAAGGCTAAGACTGAGCCGCTGGATCATAGGCATGGGGTCAATAGCCGTATTCCCCGCATGTCCATATTTAAGCAGTTCAGCCACGAAATCTTTAGTCTCAAGATCCAAATGGCCAACATATGATTGGACAGATGGTTTGTTGAGAGCAGCCGCCGCTCCCTTTCTTCGCCTCTTGAGGGATTCACTATAAGGAGAAGTTCCAATTGTTGTACCGGCGGTGTTTGACACCACCTAGTCCAGCTTGTCAATACCTATAAGAAAAAATGGTGATCTAGCCAACTCACTTTGTGGAATGTGTAAAACTCAGGTCGCGAGCTTAATGCTTGAGAATTCTGGCCGAACAGTGTCTTTGCAGAAACTGCGGTATTAACCACGATGATAGGGATATTGCCCAACTGGATCTGGTACACGGGGCCGTACTCTGCAGACCACTGTCGATATTGCTCAGCGGCATTCTCCTGGATTTGCTCGAGGTTTCCAATCATGAGAAGCCCCGGCGGACCCTTGAAACCCTTAATGCGGGCCATGTACCGCACGAATTCATTGCTAAGGATATACACAGTGGAGAGCACACATGACAAAATGAGCAAAGATTCGAGTGGGTAGTCCACCAAACTCGAGAACGTCTTTGCGAACACCATGTTGAAGATACGGCTCCAGTGGGGGAGCGGCCGTCTGACGAAGAATAACAGTAGCTCCTTTCAACCGATCATTCTTCTTTCTCAACAGATTATGTAAATTTTTTTTTTTTTTTTTTTTTTTTTTTTCCTCTCTCAACACCAGCTGGGCTTCTAATTATAGGGGGCAACCCCGCGCTTAACATGGGTGTCTGCCTCGAGCACGTTCCTCTCTCGAAGCGGCGCTTATCGCGGAAGAGTTCCGCCTTGCGTCTGCTCCAAGTCGGCTATCGGATTAACTTATCCGCCGGTGCCGGGCGGCTGTTGGGCACCTGACCCGACCCGACGCCTGGGCAGCCTCGGCACTTCCCTCTTCCGGCGCACATGCTGACCCAGTGCAGTGGCCGACAAGCCATACCAGAAAGGCCTGGCAGGGCTGAGCTGAGCAGGAGAAGCTTCCGGGCTTGCTCGCACAGCGACTGACGTAGATGCGGCGACAAGATGGCCCGGCCTCCTGAGAGCCACCGCATGGCTGGGTTTCAGGACTGTGTATAATATAATCAGAGGTAAATAGATAGATCTTCGAGTCAGACGTCGCTGCCAGCTCCAGCCTGTGCCCACCGAATACACAAACCTGGGTGAGTGTCGTGACCGCCTGCTCCACACGGACCAGTCGTCGCAAAAACCTCGGGGACACACTCTGTTTCTCTTCTTCAATTGCTTCAGAAAGGAAAGCCACTGGCCTCAAATCTTCAAGCTGAACTGGGAAAGAAAAGGAAAAGGAAAGGTGAGTGCGGTGTTGGGATCCGGCGCTCCCCTAGATTTGCCGAGACGAGCCCATTATCAGAATCTGGCAACCGAATGCTGACTGTTTGATACCTCTCAATTAGTGCTGTCATGTCATTCAACCAGAGACGCCGAGTTCTCAAACCTCTTCTCTATACAGCGGGAGCTGTGGTTGGTGGTGGAGGACTTCTCTACATCTCATATCGACCGCGCAACCTCCCTGGTTCCGATCCTGCCGCCGTCCCTCCGCCGACTACTCTCGGTGGAAAGCTTCAGCCGCCTCAGTTTCCCCCCATCAAGTCGCGCGATGAGCAGATCAACGACTTGAGAAGGCACTCTGCTACAGCGCTGCCCATAAAAGCCTTACAGGGTGTGGTTGAGTCAGCGCAGGGACAACCGCAGAGTTCAGCCGAGAGCTCCGAGAGCTCTAGAGACGGAAAGGAAGACGACAATGTGTATGATATTCTGGTGATTGGTGGAGGGGCTACTGGGTCTGGAATTGCTCTCGATGCTGCAACACGAGGCCTGCGTGTTGCTCTGGTCGAGCGCGATGACTTCAGCGCCGGGACAAGTAGCAAGAGCACAAAGCTGGTTCACGGAGGCGTCCGCTACTTGGAGAAGGCGGTTTGGGAGATGGACTACAACCAGTATGTTCTCACCCGCCTTGTTATCATCCCCTTCCCTGGCTGACCAAAGGATTTTTTCTCTTTCTTTTTTTTTACGATGAAGGTACTCGTTGGTGAAGGAGGCTTTGCGGGAGAGAAAGTATTTCCTTCACACAGCGCCCCATCTGTCCATGTGGCTCCCCATCATGGTGCCAGTACAGAAATGGTGGCAGGTGCCCTATTTCTGGGCTGGTACGAAATGCTACGACTTTCTTGCTGGCTCTGAGGGTATTGAAAGCTCGTACTTCTTGCCCCGAAGTAAAGCCTTGGATGCATTTCCCATGCTTCGGAAAGATAACCTTTTTGGAGCCCTGGTTTACTATGGTTCGTGGTCCAATGACCTTTTTTTTTATACTAGGATTGTGATAGCGCTTTGAGTACTTACTAGGACTTATGTTTTATAGATGGTGCGCATAACGACTCTCGCATGAACGTGTCATTGGCAATGACGGCTGCGCTATACGGCTGTACCGTGGTCAATCACATGGAAGTGACAGGGTTGACGAAGGATGCCAATGGGAAGCTAAACGGTGCCAAAGTCAAAGACTTGATCGCGGAGAGAAATGGGGAGAAAGATGGCGAGTTCACGATCAAGGCCAAAAGCATAATCAATGCCACAGGTCCGTTCACCGATTCCATCAGGAAGCTGGACGACCCAAGCATCAATGAGATCGTGGCACCAAGTTCTGGGGTGCATATCATCCTTCCAGGGTACTACAGCCCTGCAAAGATGGGACTGATAGACCCTTCAACCTCAGACGGTCGAGTTATCTTCTTCCTACCTTGGCAAGGGAACACCATTGCAGGCACCACGGACAGCCCGACCGAGATCACCAAGGATCCTATCCCGTCTGAAGAAGACATCAACTGGATTCTCAGTGAGATCCGAGGATATCTGGCACCAGACATCAACGTCCAGCGTGACGATGTCCTGGCTGCGTGGTCTGGAATTCGACCCTTGGTTCGGGACCCCAAGGCCAAAAACACCGAGTCTCTTGTGCGCAACCATTTGATTTCGGTCTCGAATTCGGGTCTACTAACCTGTGCTGGTGGTAAATGGACCACCTACCGGCAAATGGCCGAGGAGGCAGTTGATGAAGCTATCAAGCAGGTCAACCTCCGACCAGGAAAACCTCTCGCGACTCCCAACACCAGCGGTGTCCTTTCGTACAGTGATAACGCCGTGCTGGACGGAACCTGCCAGACACACAGGGTTCGACTGATGGGTGCCCACGGATACTCCAAGACGCTGTTTATCAACCTTATCCAGCATTTTGGCCTCGCAACTGATGTAGCCAAACACCTTACCCAATCCTACGGTGATCGAGCGTGGGAGGTGGCCGCGTTGTCAAATCCAACCGACATGCGCTTCCCGCTTAGAGGCGTGCGTCTCTCACCACTCTACCCCTTCATTGATGGCGAGGTCCGATACGCTGTGCGCCGCGAGTACGCCCAGACCGCCGTCGACGTGCTCGCCCGACGCACAAGACTGGCTTTCCTAAACGCCCAAGCCGCCTTGGAGACGCTTCCCCTCGTCATCGATCTCATGGCGGAAGAGCTTAAGTGGGACGCGAAACGGAAACAGACGGAATGGGATGATTCCGTCAGGTTTCTGATGTCTATGGGTCTTGACAAGAGGCGGCTCGGGATATCCAGAAAGGACGTAGAAGCTGGAAAGTTCTGAAGGAGTAGGAGTCCCCCCCCCCCTTTTCTTTTCCCTCTGTCCCTTATGACCTGTTCAGTCTGGTTGCGGAATTTTACTCGATCTTCAAACCTACTCCCCCCTGGCTGCGTGTCCGCCTGACGGTCGTTTTGACACACGCCTATGCCGTCATAACATATTGCTTCTTCCCTTCGGCTCTCTCTTCTTTTTAGCCATTTTGGACTCCGGCTGCAGTGTATCACTTCTATAGACTTTCTATCACTTTTTTAATACCATGTTCTTGTTCCTCCGCCTATCAATCCCCTTTTTCGCCTTCCACCGCAGCCTTCCTTCCGTGGTTGGCCAGCAAGCTAGTTGTGCGGAGGACACTCGCATATACGTATGAAACATGCTCCTATCTTTCGTCCATCTCGGCGGCCTCTTGTCTTCTTGTTTCCGTGGTAGTCTCAGTCTCGTACCTGCACCATCATATGACGACTTTATTCGACCGAGTAAGCAAAAGTTACTTGACCACGGAGTAGTTAATTAACTGCTAAGTTCCCAACACAAACGAGGGATTCGGAGAGAGAGTTCCAACTCATGGCCGTCTGTCTCTGCCTGACTGTACGCTCTGCATGTCTGTTGCAACCTTTTTGCGAAGCTGGCGAAAAGCAAAGAAAAAAAAAAGAGGTTCTATAGGATGAATTCTGAGTTTAGCCCTTGTCAGCCAGGCTATTCATAGTAGTAGTAGTAGTAGTAGTAGTTACCTGGACCCATTAGTTAACTCAAGTTAACGTACACGAGCTGGCGACAACTGTGTTATGCACAGTACAGTATCTTGCCTGCTGGCTCTGTCTCCTGCGCTCGGTGATGCCTCACATCCAAGCAAGAAGAAACGAGCAGCAGCAGAGTGAGCCTCTCCCGCAGGTAGGACGTGGCTGTTGCTCCCCTTCTTCACCCAGGCGAACTCTCTGTCGCCGTGCATGGGATCAGCGTCTAATATGAGGGCGCGAGAGAGACGACATGCAAGCCCAGGGCGTCCATCCCAACGTGTTCAACCTAAACCGGCGGCACAACCCCTTGCGGAGGGATTTCCTTGCTCTTCCAGTGGCCTGTCTGGATTTTAAACCCGGCTGGTCGAACCTGACTGCCGGGTTTTCCGTTGATCACACGGTTGATGCATGCAGACACACATGTCCATACGTGCATCCGACTCGACACCTTTGGGAGTGAGTTGAGCTGAGTCGAGCGGTTAGAGGACGAAAGGATGAGAAAAGAAAAGAAAAGGCCTCAGGTCTTGCTGTCGAGCATCCCTGGTCAACTCTGTTTCTATATTCCAGGTGTGTTCATTCATGGCTGGCGTTTGGTCAAGGTAGTTAGTTGGTTGCTACGGAGTAACTACCTGGTAGACCTGATGCCGGCACAGCGAAGCGCGGAGGCCATTAGTTAAGAGAGCTAGTTAGCTTACTGACTGATACACATCCTTGTCTGGTTGTCTTCAGTTGGTTCTGCGCAGTCGATGTCGCTGGTTGGCTGAGTAGTTATATAACTAACCATTAATTAGTTAACTATAGTTAGTTATAGCAGAACGTCTTATTGTCATTGGCAACGAACGAGTCAAGGCCCGGCGACCGTTAGCTATCTAGTCTCTGCTCTGATATAGTCAGATACCCGCCGTTAAGTGTTGCATCTAACGTCTTCGAAGCCTCCTCTTCCTCCTGCTCGCGTCCTGGCCTCGCGCCGGCCGGTATAGCTATCAATAGCCCGCGTCTTAGTGAAGTCTTGTTTTTTTTAGTTAGTTATCCTTCCCCCCTAGTCCCTTAACTGTTCAACTAGTCAACTACCCTTACGCCTGACGGCAGACTCAATCTCCTTACCTCGCTCTTATAACTATTCAATTAACTGCCAGCCAGCGAACAAGCAAGCAATCT